GGTTCTAGTAATGGGAGCATTGTTGCGTTCCGGTTTCGAAAGGATAAGGGTGCTGGTGAATTTACAGGCACATGAGATTCATCAATTATGTCTCAGAGTGACGGACGCAGTGACATTGTTCCTCAGATCTTTGCGATTTGAAGCTCCGAGCGACACTGCAACTGCTAGAGCATGTTCACATGACGAGCGTTCAACGCTCATTAGGTTTTTGAATAGTGTACACATGGCGGGCTATTCTCGGGCGTTGAACGTTGCCACTGTTTCAGTGCAATACTGTAGCGAATACTTTCTTCTTTTCGTTATTGTCATCTCCGTCACAGAGCCTTTCTCCTTAAAATATTATTCGAATATTATTCTCGACTTTGTTTATGAATAAATCCGTATTAAAGTCTTCTGTACTCATTTCTAGAAAAAAAGAATTCAATTGCAAAACACATCTCACCGCGTCGAAAACGCGAGCTCGTGTGAACGGCAGTATGGCTAACATCGAGTATATAACCAGAAATAGAGACGAAATGTCATTTAATTTGTTTGAAAACTATCCTGCCATATCATTACTGTGACAACTGCGCTCCGATTGGCCAGCCCGAGTTCGAAACAATTGACGGGTGTTGTCAACGGTTTCACTTCAAATCGACCAGTTAACTTAAGCTTTGCTATAATGGACGAAAATTGCAAAATTACATATTTAATATTTAATTACCGATGAAATGTGATTCCGTTTGTTTTGTAATTAGATGTTTTGCTGTTTTTCCCACACCACCGAATAGAACAGCACGGCATTGATAGAGATATTATCTTTATTACAATAAATACAGAATATTTTTTGGAATATACGGAGACGTACACACAGGTCAGTAGTTGGCCTGTCTATATTTCAGTGCAAACGAGAGTTGATATTTATAAGAGCTGTATCGCTAATGTGTTAACAGGAATTTAGGGCCCTTATTTCGTCTCTATTTCTGGTTATATACTCGATGACGGCAAACCTGTGATCTCAAAGCGCGCTTTGCGTCCTTGGTTAACGCGGCGTTGAGCGCGCATTGGCCGCTCGCATGTGAACACCTACAGCGATTTACGCACAAAATTCGGTAAGTTGTAAGCGTGCGTTAGCGAAACGCGCGTTGAACGCTCGTCATGTGAACATGCTCTTATGGACAGGCGTGTCGCTTACCACCAGGCGCACGACTTGTTTGTTCCTTCACTTGGTATCATAAATAAAATCTCAAAATGATGTATTGCAAAGATGAATTTAAAAAATAATTTACTAATTTTTACACTAGCAATATATTTCAATATGAACTAAAAAACAAACACGTGTTGCCTTGTACACTCAGAAAAAAACTTTTTTGAGTGAGAACGGACGGAGGTGTTTACAAGCAGAGTTTTTAATATTATTAATACAAAGATCGAACACTCAGAAAAAAATCCTGTACAGGTGGAATCGAACCAAAGCCGTCACGACGTAACAAACTATTGGAGTAATATCACGAAAATAATTGAATATCATGGTGGTCAAACATCGTCACATTCAATAAACTTAAAAATTACAATGTTTCTATTGTTATGGAATTACATAGTGCAATTTAGTTTGTAGTTATACGACAATAAAAACTTTGTTATGGTAACTAAATATCTTTGCATGCTCTCAGCCAACTAAGATTCTTCTTGGTGTTAATTTTAGTTCATTCAATCAATGCACCTGAATTTACTTACCAGATAATTTAATGGTTGTAAATGCTGCACATCTATTGTAAGCATCCTTAATATGTAACTTAACGTCGTCATGGACGTCACAAACAAATATGGCCGTTTCATTTTAATAGTAATATCCCTTATTTCGGTCTCTTGGATTCAGAAACGTTATCAATGTAAATTAAACTATTGTTAGTAACAAATCGGTATATTTGAAATTCAAATTGGTAAATGTTCTGACAAAATAAAAAAGTTTTTGTAACGAAATATATATATATTAGATAGCTCGAATTTTATTGCGTTAGACAACAGTGAGAGCTAAAACACACGCGTCTTGTGAAAAATACTCGCGTGGTCTTGGAAATTCTCGTAGCTAACGTCTCGTATTTAGTGTGTACTTTTGTACCTTACACAATTGACGTCAAGTTCATTATGCTATGTACAATTTCGTTACGAATATTAGTTTCCATTATGTTCCGCGGCAATGTAAATTGATCTATATTTTTTAGATAAAGAGAAAAATGAACTCAGGTAATCTGATTTCCTATAATTGTGTTATTGTAATTGTTTGTGTCTTTCTGAATTCACAGACCAATTTCAATTTCAATTTTAAATGAATATCAAACATTTCTTTTTTCATACTTTGATGTTACTTATTGTATTTTTCCGGGAATAGCCAAGATTCTCAGTTACCGACGCTTTATCGTTTTTAAGCGACTTCTCTGTAACTGTTCCTAAATTATTAATTAATGCTTGCATTAACAACGCATTAAGATCATCAGTAAAGGACAGCAGCGGTTGTACGATACGGCGCGACTTGTGCGACAAGCGAAAAAGAAACGCGTGATACTGCTAATCTCGAGATGCTATGTCGCTTCTCGCGCAAGTCATGCTAGCCTTACTGGGTGCATTAAATAGTGCTCCAGTTAATTCTGGTGCTTTGGTACTCATAGTACAGGAAATTCCCTACAATGACACCAAGTTCTTGGTGTGGATGTCTGGCACATTCGTATTATTTCATGATAAAATAGGGACTAGCGCAATGTTAGTAGTAGTTGAGGAAAATGGTTATTAATTTGTTTAGAGTAAACTACAAGTTATTTATTAAACCATGTAAAAGTTTTACGTGTATAATAAAGTATAGGATATGCAAACTTGTGCATACTTTATATTAATTATATATTAACTGAGCGGTTATCATGCCACGCAGAGGTCCCATATTCGATTCTTGGGCCGCGAGAAATATTTGTATAGCCTACATTTATTTCTCTCGTGAGTTTTGGTGTAATTCAAGGTCGTCTATGTGTGTATCCATGGCACCCGCGACACAGGGTTTCTATTAAATTATTGGTTGTTATATTGAATAAATACTGTAACGTGCATGAATATTATGTTCATCAGATATGTAGGTATTCGTATATTTCTTGAAGGCACCAGTCCTTCACCTACATCAGAAAAAGCTTCTGCTAAGTTCTGAGTAGTTTTATTGTAATATTTCGATGTTATTGACTAATTTAGCCTTTATAGTGAGTGTGTTTGGACAGTACGTTAATAGAACCGTATTTCAAAATGTGCCTTTTTCTTTCTGTCGTTTATATTGATTCAATAATATAATAATTAGGTACGCTTTATCACTGCCGGCTGATCCCGTTAACATTCTTGAGTATAATACAGTGCCATCTAACGATAAAAAGTTAAACTAACAACTAAAGCCACCTACTCCAAGTGCCATCTAGTATTGAATGGAGGTACCTCAATGTAAGCTTGTATCGCAATGTACTTTGTTGCGGCTTCCCTAATTTCATACTGCTTTGCGCCATCTAGATTAATTTTAAATAACTTTTTGATAGTTTATATTGCTATCATGGAAGCAGTCGTAATAGCATAGACAGTAATAAAGTAATAATTAAATTTTTATTGAATTGATATTCAATTATTTTTTGTGAAATT